TGGAAAACCAAGGGTGCCACTGGATAGAGGGGATGAAATCGCTTGAAAACGATATAAAGATCGTCGGAATCGGAGTTACGGTTTGGAAATGGCAAGCGTTTTAAGATATGACACCGGTCTGCGATTTACAGCAAGTAGGCATCTAAATGCAATGCAATGAACATGCTACAACCACCAAACATGACAACAAATTACATGGCAGGGATGCACACAAGATGCTTAACAAAAGACTAGCACTGAGCCACGGCCAATTCATCCATTATGAGGTCCAAACAAGCATGGCAAAAACGCAAATGCAAAACAGATTCCAGACTTAGTGAAATTAACACTTGTCTGAAATTTCAGATCACGAAGCCCTCTTCGGAGCAGCAAAACAACATGATACATGATCTGATTAAGGCAAGTAAGAACATGGCATGGAGCTACTCAACAAGCTTAACAAAAGACCCAAAGTGACCTGGGGCCAAAAGGGATCGCAAAATATATTAACGGGCACACGAACATAGCTAAAACACAATCAGTTTTCAGACAGTGAAAACTGAGACATGCTGAAATATAACTCACGAAGGCATGTAAACAAGCTCGATGCACTCACCACGGTGCAAGTCATGGCAATACTAGCATACATCCATTAAGAAGGCACAAAATACAAGCTAGACATGGCAAGAACAATGGCATAGCATGCACGGATCAACTACAATAACATCGGCAAAATCGCAAACGAGTTGACGATCTGCCCAGATTCACCACGAAGCAAAAGTAGAGCTCGATTGACTCAAGCTAGGGTGCTCCATGATTGCAAACAAAGACATGGATGGATAAAGCATAACATGATTAACAAAACTCCTATACTGATCATCCTCAAAAGAGGCACGGATCACTAGGAAACAAGCTGAACATATGGCATCATGAACTAAATATTCCCAGACTTAGTGAAAACAACTAAGTCTCTGAAAACAGATTTCCCGGGTGCCTCACTTTGCAAGCTTGCACAAGTCACCACACACATCATAAAAATGCATGGGTTGCACCTCTGGAAAGAAGACAAAATTCTTAACGAAACATATGAAGGACTCACAGGCATAGCATGCACACAATAATCATGGCAAAAATGACAAAAGTCTAAGATGAACTAGCAGATCTGACAATTAACTCACGAAGCCTCCTTCTAACAGCATTTTGGGCATCAAGATGAACTCAAATGAAAATGATGCAATGGAATGAAATGATATACTCTTCGAGACGAACATTTTGATATATTATATGTCTAAATTGGAGCTACGGATGCAAAGTTACGGCCGGTCAAAGTATGCCCAGAAAACTAGGGTTCGGGAGAGAAAGTCAACCGTCTCCTTCTAGATCTCAGATCCAGCACGCTTCCCGAGGAGGTCGCCGGGGTTCGCCGGAACAGTGGCGGCCGGACTGTGGAGGAGCTCGCCGGGGACTTGCGGGCGTCGGCGGGCGGCGAGGTCGGCGCCGGAGGAGGCGGTGGCCCGGGGCGGCGGCCACCGGCCGACG